TTCCTGCGCTCCTCGGGCACCACCGAGGTGGGTCTCCCCGCTTGCGTGGCTGGCCAGTCCCGTCCTGTCTTTCTCGGCCAGTTTCATGCTGCTTGTACTGCATGTGGTTCTCGCTTTCTGGATTTCAAGAACATTGACCCATGGCTGAAGCGAGAGGCGCCCTTCATTCTCCTTTGGCAGTGGGCATGGTGCGCGGGGGGGGGGGTTGCATTTTGGCCTGGGAGGAAGCGCCTCCCTTTGCCTGCCCTAGACTCTTGGTCCACTCTCTGGCTTCAGAGCTTGGTTAGCTGTGCCTTGCGTTGAGGCCCCTGGCGTGGCGGCGGGGTTTCTGCTGTTCGGTCTAGCAGCTCGATTGTCGCCGTGGCCGTGGTCATGGTGGCAGGTAGCAAGTCAGAGAGGCAGCGGGGTCTCCTGCCTCAGCTCCCCTTTCCTGCATCCTCCTCCTCAGGGTATTTCCGGGACAACATCCTCTGCCACTTCTGTGCCAGCATGATCAGCGGGTTGGTGACGACCGCGGCCTCCATGCCGGTGGACATTGCCAAGACCAGGTGAGGGCCTCGTTTCTCTCCCCAAGAGGGACATCTGTACAACCAGGGAGTCGTCTTGAGTCTGGAGGTGGGAGGGGGCATGTGGGAAAGAGCCGCTCTCCCCCGCCCCAGTCCTTGTGCACAGCTCATGAAGCCCAGGGCTTCTGAAATGCCTTCCATGCCATTCTGTGGAGTGTGGGGTGCCAGGGGCCGTGTTTTGGCAACCTCCAGAGTCCACCAGTTGCCCTCTCCTGGGTCAGGTGGCAGGAGCCATGGCATTCGGCTGGGGACAGAAGGCAGACCCTCTTTTCTGCTCCGCCAGAGCCTGACTCCAGAGGGAGGGGGGATGGTGAGCATCTTCCGGAGGCGGTCTGGAGAAGCAGCCTCTGAGCAGCTCTGGCCACTCGCTAACAGAGAGCTTGTTGCCACTCCCATGTTTCTGCAGGATCCAGAACATGCGGATGATTGATGGGAAGCCGGAGTACCGCAATGGGCTGGTGAGTGTACATGGTTCGTTGGGGGGCGGGGGCTGCGGCTTTGAGTGGAGAAGCCAGCCCATCTCTGCTCTCTGTAGTTCTCCGGGCTGACCGTGCAAAGAGAGAAGCAGCTGGAGGCTTTCAGTTTGGCTTTGTGGGAAAGTGACACCCGGTTCCAAGTGGCAAATGCCCGTGCGGACGCGTGGAGATTCTCAGCAGGCAGAGGCCGGTGCAATGAGGGAGGACTCCTGGTGGGGGAAGCTGCTTCCGGGAGCACCGTCTAGCCCAGATTTTGCTAGCTTCCTTGCAAGAATATCATGGGGAAGTTGGTCAAAGGCCTTCCTGAAATCAAGATAAGCTACATTCACAGCGTTCCCTTCATCTATCAAGCCTGTAACTCTATCAAAAAAAGAGATCAGATTAGTCTGGCATGACTTGTTTTTGGGAAACCCGTGTTGACTTTTAGCGATGACAGCCTTGCTTTCTAAGTAATAACAAACTGTATTGTTTAATGATCTGCTCTAGAATTTTTCAGGGAATTGATGTCAGGCTGACTGAGCGATCATTATTTGGGTCCTCTCCCCCCCTTTTTATTTTTTTATTTTTTTTAAAGACAGGGACAACATTTGCTCTCCTCCAGTTTGCAGGGACTTCTCCTGTTCTTCAAAAATTCTCAGAGATTATTGCCAATGGTTCTGAAATTATTTCTGCCAGTTCGTTTTAGTATCCTTGGAAGTAATTCAAGGACATTAAAACATGGGCTGTCTTGCTATTGCCTGGCCTCCTGCTTTTGGAGCTGAGGGCCGTGTTCTCTGGATTTGGTCCCTTGGCCCCTGCTGGGTCGGGACTTTGTCACTACCAAAAGGGGTACCACAGTCCAGGCAGCTGCTGGGTGAACTTTTGTAGAGATCAGAGGCTTGGAAGTTTCTCTGTGTGTGTGTTTGTGTGTGTGTAAATCATGTTGTCTTAACCATGAGCAGGGTTGATCTGGCATGTGCTTCTGGGGGTTGCAGCCCCTTGCTTCAGGGTTCAGCGATGGGGGAAGGAGGATGCAGAGCTGGGAGGAGCTCAGAGTGAGGCTGTTGGAAGATGCCGACTTTGAGGCCGTCTAGGCTAATCCCACCAAGGCAGGGGCCATAGCTGAAGGGGCCCCGACGGGTGCCCCCCCCAGCCTCTGCATAGAAACCTTTAACAAAGGGGATAATATTATCCACTGGTTCACGGCTCTCCTTGACATTCTTCCACTGGAGTTTCTTCCACCTGGATTTTCCGTGAACTCACGGCCCACCTCCTTGAGCCGAGACAGAAGAGAAGCCTTAGCGATCTTCCTTCCCTTTCTCCTGGTGGCTTTTGGTTCTGCTTTTGTTTCCTGCCAACTGTTTCAGGTGAGCACCGACTGGCATTTGTTTGCATTTCTCCCCACCCACCACCCGCTCCCCGATTTGCAGGATGTGCTGGTGAAAGTGATCCGTTACGAGGGTTTCTTCAGTCTGTGGAAAGGCTTCACGCCCTACTACGCCCGCCTCGGCCCCCACACGGTCCTGACTTTCATCTTCCTGGAGCAGATGAACAAGTTCTACCGGAAGTTCTTCCTCAGTGCCTGAGTGGGGGGAAGAGGGACACCCCCCCTGGCTTCCCGGCGCCCCCTCCTCCCATTTCTCAAGTGCCAAGGGCACCCCACCCCCTCCTGAGGCCTGTCGTGTGCAAAGCGCAAGGGAAGGGCTGCTCCTTCCCAAAACTCCTTTCTGGGGGGGGGAGGGAGGGAGGGGTGTCTCATTTCCCTCTCCCCGTGGGCCCGCCCGTCTTCCTCATCATGAGGAAGGCTCTTCATGCCCCCAGAGTGTTGAGAGCCAGGGCAGGGGGGAGGGCAAGAGATGGGTTGTTATTTATTGTGGGGGTGAAGCGAATTCTGCCCTGTAACTTTTTCCGAACTGAACTGCCACCCTGAGGAGCCCCACTGGGCATCAACGGTGCCTCTCCTTCCCCCTTCTTTGTTTTCACCCGAGTAAAATGAATCATGGTCTTAATCCACTCGCCTGCTCTTAAGGTCCTTCTGTTCCGTGGGGAGGAGGGGCTGCAGGAGGAACCCCTGCCATGAGGGAGGCTTTCCTGGCCCCTCCACCCCGACCCTCCCTTTTTCAGCGCTGACGTCTGCTTGTCCTGGCTGGAGGCCGGGAGGGAGCCGGGGCTGCCCTCTCCCTCTGGTGTTCTGGAAGGGCGAGCGTTGATCATGATCGCCCTCCCGTTCATCCCACACAGACACACACTGGCTCCTCCTTTTCCTGCCATGTGTGTGCTGTGGGGGGGGGGGAGAGAAGAGCCAGACTGGCATGCATTCCTGGGCCCCTCCCTCCTGCTCCAGTCAGTGGGCCTCTGCCCTTGGACTCCGGGGATCAGATCGGAATGGGCAGCAAAGTCTTACTGGCATGCATTCCTGGGCCCCTCCTTCCTGCTCCGGTCAGTGGGCCTCTACCCTTGGGCTCCGAGGATCAGATCGGAATGGGCAGCAAAGTCTTCTTTATATGTTTTAATTCCTCATAGTCTTCCCACCTGGAATATATATTTTGGGAAGGCTGCAGCTGTTTATTTTCTGTTTTATTTTCCTTGTTGGGAGAGAGTCTTGTGGCCCCTGAAAGACTGGCACAGGCCTTCATGGAGACTTTGCAGCCGGCCGGCCGGCCACCTCACCAGGCTGTGGAAGCTTATGCTCAGTGGCAGCTCTAAATTCAGAACCGGTGGGGCTGAATACACACCGGGCTTTGACAGACTAAGCACACAGTGCTCTGCATGAACCCCCAGGCCTGCCAGACCCACATGGGGAGAGGGCAGTTGTAGGGGCTCAGCCCTCTGGCCCCCAGGAGAGGGCAGAGACCTTTCTGGGTTGGCAGCCTCGACCTTTGTGGGGGCTCTTGCTGGTCCATCTGGGCAAGGGGACCTCCCTGCCCTGGGCCTGGTGGATTCGGCCGTGTCCCACGGGAGCCGGGCAGCAGTGGGAAAGAAACGTGGCTTCCTTCCTCGGCTGGTGCATGGAAACCTTTCCCCCTCGGGGCCCAAGGAGGAGATGGTTCACCCTGGGCTCCCCTCCAAGGCATTGTCCCAAGGGTGGGAGCGGGGGGGGGGGGGAAGCTGGGAAGGTCCTGGATGCCACAAGGAGCAGGTGGGCACCATGGACAGGCACCGGGCTACTCCCGTCTGGCACAATGAGAAAGCAATCAACCTGAGGCTGATGGAGATCCAGGTGGGAGGCCTCCCGACGACTCCTAAAAAGGCTAGAGGTCCTCCAATGGAGGGTCCCTCAGCAAGGCAGGTTCATGCCAGGCCCTCTGGCTCGAAGGTCCTGGATGCCACAAGGAGCAGGTGGGCACCATGGACAGGCACCGGGCTACTCCCGTCTGGCACAATGAGAAAGCAATCAACCTGAGGCTGATGGAGATCCAGGTGGGAGGCCTCCCGACGACTCCTAAAAAGGCTAGAGGTCCTCCAATGGAGGGTCCCTCAGCAAGGCAGGTTCATGCCAGGCCCTCTGGCTCTAGAGCGTTCAGCCCCCTCCTCATAACCATTCAAAATGCAAGGCGCTTTTATTGTTTTAAAGGATGTTCAGTTCTTTAGCTTGGGAAATGGTGGGGTTTTCATCGTCTTGTGTTTTTTTTTAAACGTATTCATGCATGACCTGAAGCTGTGGTGGGCAGAGGGTTGGGTGGGTGTTCATTGTGTTGGGTGTTGAGAAGGGGAACTGAGGGCAAGGAGCCCCGGAAGGGTTTTTCCAAACAGGTCCGGATGGAGCAGCTGTTGAAATGGGAGACATGAGAGCGAGCAAGGGCTCGAACAGGAGGCATTGTGGGGCAAGAAGAGAGATGTCTCACATTACACACGCACAACATGCAGGGGGATCTGAGCTGGCAGTGATGGAACAGGAGAGGGGTCTCTGTGGAAAACTCTTGCACATGCACGGCTGCCGTAAGAAGGCAAGTTCTGTGCAGGGAACCATGAGAAAAGAAATGGAAACAAAACGGTTCCGTCTTGCAAACAGGGAATCCCTTGAAGCAGGTGAAGGTGCCGGACAAGGCTGGACACATCATCAGAGATGCCCCAGTTCCCAGAGGACAGCTTGCACCTTTGGGGGTTGTTTAGCTGGGGGGGGGTGGGCTTGGAGTTCTTGCCTGCTGCACAAAATGAAGCCGCTGTGCTAAAAGGCTCAACATTCGTTGAACTCCTCCTTGGCTTTCTCCTTGTGAAACATCACTTAGTAAGGACTGTGTGTGTCTGTGTTTTCCCACAATGTCTTTTAGGGGACGAGGATTGTCCCCAAATTCCGATTTTCGACTCTTTGGGATGCTCGGTCAAAGGCTGCCATCAGGAGGCTTGTTCTGGAGGCTGCCACAAACTCTTTTGCCCAGGGCAAAAGCAGGAAAGGGAGCCTGGTGGACCGAGGGGAAAAGCCAGCAGCCTCCAACCACCAGAGGTGCCTGGAGTAGCCCCCCCTCCCTTAAAAGAATAATGGGACTTAAGCCATGGGGCTTGGTTTCTCTCTTGGAAGAACTACCCCCTCTTCTGTCCGTGGACACCAAATGCCAGGACTCCAGGCCCCAACCTCTCCCCCCCCCTCCTTTGCCCTCATTCTCGCCGTGCATGAACTACGTGTGGCTGCTTGTGAAACTTCCTACCTCCTGCCCCTGCCCACTTCCTAACCTTTCAGCTGCCCACCTTCCCCGGGCCTTGCCTGGGGTGTTCAGAGCGACCCAGTCCTGGGGGAGAACCCCCATTGGCCATGGCAGGCCCCAGGGCTCCCCGGCCGGGGAATCCCACAGCCACCCGCCAGGCCCCGAAGCTTCCTTTCGCCTAGCTGGAGAATTGCCAGAGCTCCCAGGCTGGCCAGTCGCCCCTCCAGGGCCACGGACTCTAATCCAGCCCCCCCCCCGAGGTTCCAGGAGGCAGAGGCGGGGGGGCACCCAACCTCCAGCCATCTTCCTTGGCTTCTGCTTTTGCTGGCAGAGCAGGCGATGGAGCCATGGTCCAGAAGGCAGAGGTCAAGAGGTCTCGCTGGGTCAGGCGCCGGGTGGGTCCAGGCCAGCTAGCCATTCCCTTCAAGAAATGGCCAGAGGAGAGGAGGGGGCAGGATCCCAGAGCCTGAAGAGGGAGGGTTGGGTGTGGTGTGGAGGGGAGGGGAGAAATGTGCAAGAGGGAGGGAGGGAGGAAAGAGCCCCCCCCAGGGCTGCCTGGAGCAGGCCACCCCCGCCCCGCCTCCTCACAGGGCCACCCTATGCCCAAAGCAAAGCCTTTCCTGCAACCACAGTTCAAGAGGGCGGCCTGGGCCACCAGGCAGGCTTCCCGCCGGAGCTGGCCCGCTCCTCTTCCTCCGGCTCCCAACGTGCGATGGAAGGGGCAGAGGGTCGCCCTAGGACACTCAAGGCGTGGGAAGGGCCGCTTCAGGACACGCTGTTTATTTGGACACGTTAGGGCAGCCGACGCGTACAGAAAGCATTTTGTGGATTTTACACGACACGGGTGGGTCGGCTGCTGGCGGCCCTTCCATGGCCCTCGAGGAAGCGGGCTCAGTGCTGGGGCTGCTCCTGCAAGGGTCCCAGGGCGGACCAGCCAGCCAGGGCAGGAAGAGGCCGGCCACCCTCACGGTCCCTCTTGTCCTTCCTCACCCGGAAAGGGGTGGCTGGGCACAGTGTTGAAGTGGCCTATGGAGAAGATGGCGAGGGTCCCGAGGGCGAAGAGCAGGATGGCTGCCCAGAAACACAGCTGGTCGATCACCTTTCCGATCAGCACCCAGTTCTCTGTCTCCTGTGGGAAGCGGAGGAAGTGGGACGGATAAGGGCCGAAGGGGAGGGAAAAAACGGAGAGGACGGGGGGGCTTTCCTGCCCACCCTCATGAGGAGGCACCTACCCCCCTCCCCCCCCCCCCGGTCTTAGGCTGGCAGCTGCCTTACCGTGCTCTCCGCGTTCTGGCCCTTGGTGCTCTCGGCGATGAAGTTGCAGGCGTCCACACACGCCTTGATCTCCGGGGCCAGGCTGGCCAGGTTCTTGTACAAAGTGTTGGTCATCCCCACGTCCAGCTCATCTGGAGGGAAGGGAGAGGGATGGGCAGGAGGAAAGCCAGAACCCCCCCCCAAGTCCCGAGGCAGCTCTGCCTCCACGCAGACACCCCCCACGGTCCTTCCTTTGTTCGTGGGCCAAAAAGCTTCTGACGACAGCGTCTCTCCGCACCTCGGAAGACGGTTCGGAAAGGCCCTACCTGGCAAACCGGGGGGGGGGGACAGGGCCAAACCAACACCGCATGCTTCATCGGGGGGGGGGGGAATGGAGGCACTAATAGAGGGTGGTAGGGGGCAGGCCCGGAGCCGTCGTACACAAGAAAAGGAGCTCTGGATTTTACTAGACCCCCAAGCGAAACAGGAGTCAACCACATGAAACGGCAGCAAAATAGTCTAATGTGATACTTCTTGGCTGCATCAACAGAAGATGGTGTCCCAATCCAGAGGAGCCACCGCACTGCTGCGTTCTGCGGTGGGACCTTAAATATGGGATTCTTGGCGCTGCTACGGGCGTCACAGTTTTGGAAAGAGACTGAGACATTGTGATGTGCCCAGAGGAGGAGGAGGAGGAGGAGGAGGAGGATGGAGACGGACAAGGGTCCCGAGACCAGGCCCTGCCAGGCAGGATGGAGAAGAGAAGAGGGAGGGCGATGGGAGAGCTTCTTTTGGGGTCACTCCAGAGGGGAAGATGGATTGCAAGGGGAAAAGGAGATTTTGCCTCAGCATTAGGAAGGCCTTCTTGAGAGCAAAGGAAGGGGCTGCCTCACGGAGCAGGGGGTCCCTCAAAGCCGGAGGTGCTTAAACAGAAATAAGAGGAAATTCTCACCCCCCCACACATACACACTGTCTAGGAGGCTTCAGGAAGGGGCTTCCTGCTTTGGCAGGGCCTGGACCCGATGGCCCTGGGAGGGCGGCAGGGTGTGTGTGTCCCTTCCGGCCTTAGCCCTCCAAGATTGGAAACATCCTTCAGAGACCAGGAGGGGGGGACCT